ATGATAGGTGGATAGATAGATAGATAGATAGATAGATAGATAGATAGATGATGGCTAGGTGGATAGATAGATACATAGAGTAGGTAGATGATAGATAGATAGATAGATAGATAGATAGATAGATAGATAGATAGATAGAGTAGGTAGATGATAGATGATAGATAGATAGATAAAGTAAGTAGGTAGGTGGGTGGGTGGGGTGGGTAGGTAGATAGATAGAGATAGATGGATAGATAGATGATGGATGATAGGTGGATAAATAGATATAGGTAGATGATAGATGATAGGTAGGTAGGTAGGTAGGTAGGTAGGTAGATAGATAGATAGATAGATAGATAGATAGATAGATAGATGATAGGTGGATAGATAAAGTAAGTAGGTAGGTGGGTTTATGTAGATAGATGATAGATAGATAGATAGATAGATAGATAGATAGATAGATAGATAGATAGATAGATAGATAGATAGATAGATAGATAGAGTAGGCAGGTAGATGATAGATAGGTAGATAGATAGATAGATAGATAGATAGATGGATAGATAGAGTAGGCAGGTAGATGATAGATGATAGGTAGATAGATAGATAGATAGATAGATAGATAGATAGATAGATAGATAGGGTGGGTAGGTGGGTGGGTGGGTGGGTGGATGGGTAAGTAGATAGATATAGATAGAGATAGATAGATAGATGGATGATAGGTGGATGGATAGATAGATAGATAGATAGATAGATAGATAGATAGATAGATAGATAGATAGATGATATGATATATATATTTCCCAAGATACTTAACTCTGGTGACCGAATTGACCCCTTTTCTGGGTTGGTATCTCTTCACCGGTTTTCATGACCTCCTAAGCCACAAAAACATCCATTTCAGAGTTCTAAAATTCGAAAGGACTTTTGAGGTCCTCTATTCCACCCTCTGCTCAGTGTAATAATCAAATTAAAACATCCCAAATGATTAGTTTGCTTGAAGACATCTTATGAAGGGGATCTCCTCTATCTTCCTAACGTTTGTTGTTCTAACATTTACTCACGCTTTTCTGCTTCGGGCCAGTGCAGCCTCTTTTTCTGCAATGTCCTGTAAGAATAACAGAGTTGGAAGGGACCTTGGAGGTCTTCTAGTCCAACCCCCTACTCAAGCAGGAGACCCTATCCCATTTCAAACAAATGGATGTCCAGCCTCCAGCGATGGAGCACCCACCACCTCTGGTGGCAAGCCGTTCCAGTGGTTAATTGTTACTCTTGCTTCGGAAGTTTCTCCTTAGTTCTAAGTTGCTTCTCTCCTTGATTTGTTTCCGTGGTCCTGGAAGTGCTCCACAGGGCCAACTCCTCCGGTTTCTTCCCACAGGGGCTTGGTTTCTGGCCACTTGCTTGTCCTGGTGACCTAACTCTAAACCTCTTTCCAGTTGTCTCCGAATCTTTCCAAAAGTTTGATGCTTGGATCACGATACAGAATTCAAGCTGAGCTCCGACCAATGCAAAAGAAAGCAGAAAACTCTTCTTTTAATTGAAACACAATGCATCTGCTGACACTTTCAATTATCTTTGTCTTCTTGCCAGCCCATCAGCTCAAGTTGTAGGCGACTAACATTCCAAAATCATTTTTACAAGTACAACTCTCTAGCCGTCTCTTTCCTCAGCCTAAACCTCTCCCTTAAGAGTCCTTGTTTCCTAAGTGAAGCCGGTTAAATGCACAGTGTTGCATTTGTCTCGGTTAAATATTATTTTTTGAGCGCTATTTCCATCTTCAGGCATAGTAGCATTCCCTTCCGTTGTCTGTAGCGAGAAAGCTACAGACAAGTCCAAAAAGCAGATTGGTGGGATCCACTGAACCAACCTGGAATGGCTCAACTAGCCAGAATAAAAGTTCCTCCCAGTACAACAGTTGGTTCTGCTGATATAACTGAACTGGGTCCTGACTCAAGATGTCAAATTTGCAGAGGGACCTTGAAGAACATCCTGGAATTGCAGCGACATGCACAGTTCTTGGCTCTCCATATTTATTTCTAAGTGCCATACGAGGTGCTGGCTGTCACCATCCAAGCCCTACATGGCACGGGATCAGACTATGTTGCAGGCACCCCTCGCCTTGAGGGCATCTGCCTGTTTCATTGGGCCAGAAAGGGGTGTGTGTTCAAAATCCCCTCGCTCAGATGTTATCATCTATTCTAGTGGGACCTAAGAAGCGGTCCTTCTCTAGGGCAACCCCTGCCTTGGGAAACCCCCTCCCTGGCCCCCAAGCAGGGACCCAACCAGGCCGAATATTGATGTGCAAAAGAGCATTTCCCTTTTGGATGCTGGGAGTTGTTTGAAGTTTTTATTCTGGCTTTGTGATCCAAGCAGGGTTATGGCAGAAACGATGGGTGGCCATGTAAGTGAGATAGATAGATAGATAGATAGATAGATAGATAGATAGATAGATAGATAGATAGATAGATAGATAGATAGACAGACAGACAGACAGACAGACAGACAGAGATGATAGAAAAATAGGTGATAGATAGATAGATAGATAGATAGATAGATAAATAGATAGATAGATAGATAGATAGATAGATAGATAGAAAATAGGTGATATAGATAGATAGATAGATAGATATAGATAGATATAGAGATAGATAGATAGATAGATAGATAGATAGATAGATAGATAGATAGATAGACAGATAGATAGATAGACAGATAGACAGACAGAGGCAGATAGATAGATGATAGAAAAAGGTGATAGATAGATAGATAGATAGATAGATGGATAGTGACAGAGAGACAGACAGACAGACAGATAGACAGAGCTACAGAGAGAGAGAGAGAGAGAGAGAGGGAGAGAGAGAGAGATGATATACATAATACAAACAGAGATATAGAGATCGAGATAGATAGACAGCATAGAGAAGATAGAGGATAGATGGACAAGATAGATAGACAAATAATTTGGATGGATGGATAATGTTAGAGTACCTGAAGACAACGTACTTGACCAATTCCCTTGGCTCCAGCCTGTGTATTTATATTTAATTTATGCAACTTGGGCACCACCTAAGTCCAAACCGACTCTGGGCAGCAGCCAATAAATCAAAAGACAATGAAAATTCAGCACAATACTGATAAAAGAATACGGACGTGGGAATTGCCAGTGCTGACAACCTTCCCAAGCCACCAAGAACATCCGAAACGATCTCTAGGAATCGGCCTTTAAACAGGTGGCTAACCTTGGAGTTTTTTTAAAGCCTGCTGTGAGCGCCTTCCCAAAATGGCCACCACGGTGGAGGAGGCCCGGCCTTGGATCCTCCCTTTTGTGAAAGTGAATTCACGTGGCGGTTCTCCAGCATTCCTTCTAAGCTTCTCAACCACGCTCTCTGCAGTCCAGCTAACTATTTCTTCTCCTGGGTTAGTCGGGCATGTTGCCCACCCGCTCTCAGGACTCAACAACCCATCCATGGCTTCTAGGCCCCATTTCTGCAAATAAACCACGATGCAAAAGGCTGGCACTTGGCCTGTTTGCAAAGTTATTTTTTTAAAAAAATAAAAAATGGATAGGTTCAGAGGTTAGCAACTTCCCACCAGCATCACGATCACTAGAGTTTGCGTTCTTGACTCTACAGTTATGGCTGACACCCATCTTCTCTTGCAAAGGACCAAACGACAAAGAAAACACAGAATGAGGGGCGGGCAGACGCCGGATTTCCACCCCCTCCGTCCTAAACCTGGCTTAACAAATGGCAGCTCCAGCATTTGCGAAACTATCTGACGCCCCCCAAAAAAACAAGCGATGGGGCTGGTCTGGTTTCCAGGACTGATCGAAGGGAGAATTGGGTTCCTGCCAGATGCCGAGGTTCAGACGAACCAAGCGTTCCTCCGAGCCTAGCGTGTTGTGTGAACCCACGCGCCCAAAGAGTCCCGACAGCAGAACACCAGGAACTTCAAGTCAAAGCAACTGTTCTTCTGCCAGAGCAGGTGGAAGCGCCCTTCCTGCCTCGTCTGGGGTTCACCTGCTCCCCAAATTTGGATTTCTTCCCTCCAGCTTGGCACGCTGCTCCCCAAACAGCCGCGGAAAAGGGCAGCCCTGGGTTGGCAGAGCCAACCTGCAGCTCGCTGGAGCATCGGGGAATGGGTGTGCTGAGAGTGGAGCGTGGGGGTGGGTCGGTTGCATAGTATAGTCCAGGGGTAGGCAACCTTGGCTCTTTTATGACTCGTGGACTTCAACTCCCAGAATTCCTGAGCCAGCCACGCTGAGGGGAAAGGGAACGGTTTCCAAGCTGAGCCATGCTGGCTCAGGAATTCTGGGAGTTGAAGTCCACAAGTCATGAAGGGGCCATAGTTTTCCCATGCTGGCTTAGGAATTCTGGGAGTTGAAGTCCACGAGTCATGAGGGGGCCAAAGTTTCCCTCATGCTGGCTCAGGAATTCTGGGAGTTGGAAGTCCACCAGTCATAAAGCAGCCTAGGCCTAGGCCAGAGTGAGGCAACCTCGCTCTTTTAGGTCTCGTGGACTTCAACTCCCAGAATTCCTGAGCCAGCATGAGGGAAACTTTGGCTCCCTCATGACTCGTGGACTTCAACTCCCAGAATTCCTGAGCCAGCGTGGCTCAGCTTGGAAACCTCTCCCTTTCCCCTCAGCATGGCTGGCTCAGGAATTCTGGGAGTTGAAGTCCACCAGTCATAAAAGCGGCAAGGTTGCCTACCCCTGGTGTAGTCAGTGCTCAGTTCCCCTTCTGGACCATCCAGCCTTGTGCAGATGTTCTCCCCTTGACAGCTGCTCTCTCTGTCCCTCTTCCTCCCCCTCCCCTTCCCCAAAAGACCCTGCCCGAAGGGGGGGGGAGAAAAACACCGTGGCATTTCTCCGAAGTGACAACCAGACCGGAAATTAAGTTGGCAGCCCCGCTTCCCCGCCCTCCCCGTCTCCCATCAGTCCTGTGGTAGGTTAACACTCTGTTGTCTCCTTGTCTCTCCCCCCCCCACCCCCCTCCCCGCAACCTCTGCGCTCACGACGGACAGGTGACTATCTCCGTGGACGGAATCCTGACCACCACCGGATACACCCAAGAGGACTATACCATGCTGGGCTCGGACGACTTCTTCTATATTGGAGGGAGTCCCAACACGGCGGACCTCCCGGGGTCTCCCGTCAGCAACAATTTTATGGGATGCCTTAAGGATGTGAGTCGCCGGGGGGGGGGGGATGGTTGGGATCAGGTGGGGGGCGGCGCGCGGGTGGGACTGAATTTAGTGCTAGGGGAAGAAGGATCAAGGAACACCTTCTCTGCTTGATCCTTCTGCTCCCCAGTTTCTTAGCACAGTTGAGGGTTTTTCCTGTCACTCGTACTGTTCGTATTGTTTCCATGTCTTTGCCTTGGCGAGATGGGTAGCATGTATACATCAGTTTAATATGTAAAGTCTATAGTCCTCATGGTCTCGGGAGCTAGAAATGAAAAAAAGTAAGGTTCTACATTTGGGCAAGAAAAACCAAATGCACAGGTATAGTATAGGGGGTGCCTTGCTCAATAGTAGTAACTGTGAGAGGGACCTCAGAGTCCTAGTGGACTGAAATACGAGCCAGCTGTGTGCTGCAGCTGCCAAAAAAGCCAACACAGTGCTAGGCTGCATTAACAGAGGGATAGAATCAAGATCACGTGAAGTATTAATACCACTTTACAAGGCCTTGGTAAGGCCACAGTTGGAATACTGCATCCAGTTTGGGTCACCACGATGTAAAAAAGATGTTGAGACTCTAGAAAGAGTGCAGAGAAGAGCAACAAAGATGATCAGGGGAGGGTAGCCATTTTTGGAACCAGGCAAGAACCTCATGGGTGCACTCACAAAATGGTCACCCTGCCATGGGGGCCTGACTACACATTTTTTTTATTTCTCTGAAGGCAAATTTTCCCAGCCTTCTGTCTCTTCAGCTTTTCTGCTCTCCCCCCGCCCACTTTCGGGGGAGGTAAGTACTTTTCTGGAGGGGCCCTTAGATACGGCCTTTTGCAGTAGCCTGTGGTCAGGTGATTGCAATGTACACATTTGTATCATTTAATTTATTTATTTGTAAGATTTAGGAACCGTCCACCTTGCCACGTGGGTGGAATATTTTTGCTGCAAAGTGCCATTTGCTTCTGGTTTTTGGCAACCCCCCCCCCACCCATCGGCTTAAGGACCGTGATGCTTACTTCACAATCATCGCATTTGCTTTGTGACAGCCACATTTGCTTAACAACTGCCATAATGATGATGATGATGATGATGATGATTTGAACAGACAAGCACCTGCCACATAACACCCTGGACTTAACAATTGTCGATAAGAAAGACAAAAAAGTCTGGAGAGTGGACGTGGCAGTGCCTGGAGACGGCAGAATAGACGAGAAAGAACTGGAGAAGATAACGAAATACAAAGACCTACAAATAGAAATAAAAAAAATTGTGGCGAAAGCAAGCAAGGGTAGTACCAATAGTAATAGGCGCCTTGGGTGCAATCCCAAAACAACTGGAGTACCACTTGAACACCATTGGCATTGACAAATTTGCTATTAATCAATTGCAAAAGGCGGCCTTACTAGGAACTGCTTCCACCCTGTGACGAGATCTGTAATACCATCAAACATCCACACCTGCCTATCCCAGGTCCTGGGTAAGGACTCGATAGGTAGACAAAAATGCCAAATCCAGTCTGAACATCTGGCTGACTGTGCAATGATCCATAATAATAATAATAACGACAACAAAATCGACTTTCTTAACAATTGGCATGACTTACATACATAATTCTGGATTCATAAATCAAGGCCTGCTTGCCTTAATTTTGCACGACTGTTTGATTTGGCAGTACGATCATCAATCTCCTCTGTTTTTTGAACTAGATCTGATGCCTCTGATTTGGAGACAATATTGCACTGTCAACTGTCCCTCCTGTGTGCTTTGTCCAGGCAAGGCCTCCCTCCAGCTGGCTGAAACAGCCACCAAGGTGATGGCAAACTGGGGAGCCCTTCAATTGGCTGGCCTTCAGGCCTGCAATACGGACCTTGTTCTGAGCCGAATTCAATTCAACCCCGTGCAATGGACCGGTTGATCTCCGCCGGTCAGGCAGTTCAGATTGGATGGAGCCGACAATGGCACTCGAAGGCGAGGGCTACTGACGGATATCCGGCTGACGCTGCTGCTCTTCTTCTTTCCTTGCAGGTGGTCTACAAGAATAATGACTTCAAACTGGAGTTGTCCCGCTTGGCCAAGGAAGGGGATCCGAAGATGAAGATCAACGGTGACCTGGTCTTCCGTTGCGAGAATGTCGCCGCCCTTGATCCGGTCACCTTTGAGTCACCCGAGGCCTACATTTCCCTGCCCAAGTGGAACACCAAGAAGACCGGCTCCATCTCCTTTGACTTCCGGACCACCGAGCCCAACGGGCTTCTCCTCTTCAGCCATGGCCGGCTACAGCCGCCGAAGGAGAGCCGATCGGAGCGCGTGCACAAGGCCGATTATTTTGCCATGGAGCTTCTGGACGGCTACCTGTACCTGCTGCTGGACATGGGCTCCGGGGGCATCAAAATGCGGGCCAGCACCAAGAAAGTGAACGACGGGGAGTGGTGCCACGTGGACTTCCAGCGCGACGGGCGCAAGGGTGGGTGTGCAGGCGTCCTGAGCGGCCGTGCCTTGTCTTTCATTCAGTACAGACGGGCAAGGAAGGAGAAGTTGCCGGGTGCGGCGATGCTTCAGCAGTGTGGGAGGGAGGCAAGCGAAGGAAACGTCCAGATCAACTTCTTTTTTTATTCTTTACTAGAACAATCTATTATATAACCTGTTGGGGTTTTCCATTGTCAATATTTACTCACCCGGAAACATTAACAAAGTGACCACAGGCGGGCAAAAAGGCAGTGGAAGCCGGTGAGACTTCCAACTTTTGACTTCCTGCCAGCTTCCCCACTGACTTCGTGGGAAGCTGGCAGGGAGCGTCAGAAGCCTACGATCCCCCGACAGTGGGAGTACGGCGGCTACAGGTTTGCCCATATGTTTGATATGGAGATCCTTGAAATTTCAATTGTAGGGGAGAGGGGGGAGGGTCTACTCATTCTTTAAGCTGGCAGAAGGGAAATGGCATTGTTGTCCTGGGACGAGCCATTTTGGCTAAAGCGGTGGTTCTCAACCTTTTTAATGCCGCGACCCCAACCGGTCGTAAGTCGAGGACTACCCAACCGGTCGTAAGTCGAGAACTAGCAAGTGCATCTGGCTTCCCCTTGGGCTTCGCAGAGAAGGTCACAACGGGGGGATCCCGTGACTCCGGGACCCTGCGAGGGCCGTACGGGTGAACCGCTTCTCTCTCTCCCTCTCTCCCAGGCTCCATCTCGGTCAACAGCCGCAGCACGCCCTTCCTGGCCAGCGGGGACAGCGAGATTTTGGACCTGGACAGCGAGATGTACCTGGGGGGTCTTCCCGAGAACCGCCTGGACCTCATCCTGCCCCCGGAGGTCTGGACGGCCTTCCTGAACTACGGCTACGTGGGTTGCGTGCGGGACCTCTTCATCGACGGCAAGAGCCGGGACGTGCGCCGCTTGGCCGAGGTGCAGAGCGTCTCCGGGGTCTCCAGCTTCTGCTCCCGGGAGACCCTCAAGCAATGCGGCAGCTCCCCCTGCCACAACGGGGGCCTGTGCCGGGAGGGCTGGAACCGCTTCATCTGCGACTGCCTGGGCACCGGCTACCTGGGCCGGCTGTGCGAGAGAGGTGAGGGGCTGGAGGGGCTGGCTGGAGGTAGGCCACCCCTTTCAGGCTGGGTTCACACAACCTCCAGAACTAGGCTCGGCTGCAATCCGGGGGGGGGGGTTTGCAATCACATGGCAGTGATCAGGTCTAGTGGTTGGCTTCCACTCAATCAAGGGCTCCTTCCTTCCCTCCCTCCCTCCCTTCCTTTCTTCTTTCCTTCCTTCTTACCCTCCCTCCCTCCCTTCCCTCCCTTCTTTCCCTTCCTTCCTTCCTTCCTTCCCTCCCTCCCTCCCTCCTTCCTTCCTTCCTTCCCTCCCTCCCTCCTTCCTTCCTTCCTTCCTTCCTTCCTTCCCTCCCTCCCTCTCTCCCTTCCTTTCTTCTTTCCTTCCTTCTTACCCTCCCTCCCTCCCTTCCTTCCCTCCCTTCTTTCCCTTCCTTCCTCCCTCCCTCCCTCCCTCCCTCCTTCCTTCCCTTCCTCCCTCCCTCCCTCCCTCCCTTACCTTCCTTCTTTCCTTCCTTCTTTCCCTTCCTCCTTCCTATCCCTCCTCCCTCCCTTCCCTTCCTTCCTTTTCCTTCCTCCCCCTCCATCCTTCCTTCCTCCCTTCCTTCCTTTCTTCTTTCCTTCCTTCTTTCCCTCTTTCCCTCCTCCCCCCTTCTTCCCTCCCTTCTTTCCCTTCTTCCTTCCTTCCTTCCTTTCCTTCCTTCCCCTTCCCTCCCTTTCCTTCCCTCCTTCCCTTCCTTTCTCTCCACTCCCTTCTTCCTTCCTTCCCTCCCTCACTCCTCTCTTTCTTCCTTCCCTCCCTCCCTCCCTCCCTCCCTCCCTTCCTTCCTTCCTTCCTTCCTTCCTTCCTTCCCTCTCTCTCTCCCTCCCTCCCCCCCTTCCTTCCTTTCCTCCCTCCCTCCCTTCCATCCTTCCATTTTTCGCTGGTGAGTTAGCATATTTTCTGAAGGCAGAAAACGGGATAATTTTTAATAGCCAAGCTGGCCCGTTTTGCAAACCTAGCCACTGGGTGGCTCGGGGTAAAGCGATCCCACTTTCCCCCCCTGCACCCGACAGGTAGAGAGGCAGATGTTCACCCAGCATGCTTTGGTTTGCCGAACCGGTTGGGGGGGGGAGGGGAGTTCTGGGAGTTGAAGTTCACACCCCTGAAAGATGCTGAGATTCAGGCCAAGCCTCCGGCTATTCTAATGCCTGCCTGCCTGGCTTTTTCTTCCCTCCCAATCCCCCCCTTGCCCGGACAGAGGCCACGGTGCTAAGCTACGACGGGAGCATGTACATGAAAATCATGCTGCCCACGGTCATGCACACCGAGGCCGAAGACGTGTCCCTCCGGTTCATGTCGCAGCGGGCGTACGGCTTCATGATGGCCACCACTTCCAAGGAGTCGGCCGACACCCTCCGCCTGGAGCTGGACGGGGGACAGATGAAGCTCACGGTCAACCTAGGTAACCAGCTGGCCCGGCCAGGGACGGTCCCATCCTCAGCCTTCCATTCTCTCTGTCCAGGGAGCCACACTGGGGAAGCCACCTGGCCGGTGGGAGGGGGCTCACCAGGTGATTTAATCCCGGCAGAGGAATCTTCAGAAAAAAAAAAACACGCTTTCCGCAATTGCAAAATCCCGTCTTCTTTGGCTGCAGGTGAAAATCCACTCGCTGGCTCGGAGCCTAATGCAGAAATAGTTACACTTCTGGCTCTCTTGTTTGGGAAAGGCCTGGCGTCCCTTGCGAACGCCCCGTCCCAGAGGGGATACTCATGAGTAAAGCCCACCCCCTTGTAAGGAAGGAACGGAGCAGTGCAAAACATTCCAATTTCTCGCCGTTTTCAGCTCAGGAGATCTTGTGTTCATCTAATGCTTGTTTGGATGATTTCGTAAGGGTTTTGAGTCCCAAACAGCTGCGATTCGAATTTGAGACAGATGTCAGGAGCCTGGATGGCCTCGGAGGTAGTCGGAGCGGCCCGTTTGGATTCCAGATGTTTCCCACGTTTCTAGGAAGAACGCTTCCCAACTGAGACGTCGTTCAAATGTCTCGGGTCCCCCCCAGCCTTTGCGGAACAGGCTGAAAACGTTCCTGCTGGGTAGGCGACCTTGGGCCGCTTCTGTGGGGTCAAACACAGGTAGTCCCCGATTTAGGACCATAATGGAGCCCAACATTGATGCTGCTAAGGGAGCTGTGTGTTAAGGGAGTTTTGTCCCGTTTTACGACCATTCTTGTTACAGTTGTTAAGTGAATCGCTGCAGTTGTTCACTTAGGAACACGGTCGTTAAGCGATATTTATCATTTTCAGACTTTGGGTAACCACAATTTCCTTTCTCTCACTTCAGAACAAACTATAATATCCATTTTATCTCTTTCAGTATAATCTTGTTCTATTCCTTAAGCGTTTATCTATTTCCCACCATATTAAATCATCTAGCGAATAACACAACATCCCCTATAAAAGGGCCAAGCCCTGTGGTCATTATGCAAAATAAAAATAAAAATGACATGACCGCGCCGGACTTAACGACATCCCTTCCCAATTTGGCTGTTCAGTGAATCACTGTCAATCTTAAGCCAGGCGCCACGTGACGGCGACCTGCACTTTTGCTGCGCCACCTTCCCCTTTGGCTCTGGACCCCAGGACCGTCCTAAATGCGAGGAGGGGTTGCAAAGCTGTTTTTGGGTTGTTTTTTTTTAACCATCCTAAGGGTCCCTAAAAATAAAGCAGTTTGGTAAGCGAGCACGACCTGTAAAAAAAAAATAATGCAATCAAAGCGTATGTGAAGATCGCCTCCCTTTAGTGTGGATAGGTAATAACCCCCCCATCCCACCCTGTGGCTATTTACTCATGAGTAATCCCATGGAGAGGGTTTGCCTGGCCAATAATTTATTGGGAAGCCAATGAAACCCAGCCAGAAATAAGGGTGTGAAGAACCAGCAGTTGAATGCCTGATGTTTGCCTTCGCTGGTCTCTTTCCCAAGCACTTGGAGGTCCTGTCGTGAGCCCGGGTGGATTTGGATTCCTCATATGTAACACACACACATCCACACACACACACACACACCCAAATCTACTCAGATTTCTCTGCACGTGGGATGGGATGAACGAGCCCATGGTGGGAAGCAGACTTGGGAACAGGTTGGCCTACCAGCAACCCCCCCCCCCAGGGTCCAAAGCGGGTGCAGAGTTTGAGCCTATTTCTTGGGCGTGGGGGGTCCTTCCCTCCCTGCCTCTGCCAGCCCCCTCTCCTGACCATCAGACCACCCTCGTCGTGGCCGGACAGAGAGAGAAAGAGAGGGCTGACTCTGCTTCCTGGATCCCGCCTGTCCCCCCCCCCGTCGTTGTGGGTTTTGACCCTTCATTGGTGCATAAACAGCCAGCCCAGAGCAAGCAGCCACAGTGACCCAAACACAGTCTCTCTCTCCCACCCACCCCCACCCCACCCCGCAGCCTTCCCCTTCCTGCTTCCCAGGATTCCTCTCTTCCCTCCCACCCCCCCCCCAACCCGGGAACTTCTGCCTTCCCACGAGAGATGTTTCCCGGTCCTGTGGCTGCTTGCATCCACTGCTCTGTGGAGGTTGACGGCGCGCCGTGGCCCAGCTGTGCAGCTTGTGGAAAGGGAGGGGGGGTGGCAGCCAAGGTGTCCTGGCTGGTGGGAGGCATTGAGCTGGGGGAGGGGGGGAGGAATGGATGCCACTCCCCAATTTTCTCCCTTTCCCTGCACAGCTGATCAAGACAAGGGAGCCGCTTGCTAGCGCCGAGGGACCCCCCCCCCCCAAACGATGGGCAAAGTCAGTCTGTAGCATTCAAGATTGGAATCCGAAGCGGTGGCGGCCGGTTTCTCCACCATGGCACCCCTAATTTGGGACCGGGCACGAGCCCGCTGTTTTCTGGTGCTCGCAAGTGGCCAATAGGCTGGGGCACATTTTGAGCATCGCCCACCGGGCATAGGTGGTCAGGAAAGACTTGTATGGCAGTGTCTCTCCACCTGAGCCACTTTGAGACGGGTGGACTTCAACTCCCAGAATTCCTTAGCCAGAGAGGGGACCTCATCAGCCATGGAAGAAGCACCCATCCTGCTAAAACGGTCTGCAGTCTTTGTGCATAGATCAGCTGTGCTGGCTGGGGAATTCTGGGAGTTGAAGCCCACCCACCTTAAAGGATGCTGGCTGGGGGATTCTGGGAGATGAAGCCCACCCATCTTGAAGCATGCTGCTGGGGGATTCTGGGAGTTGAAGCCCACCCCACCTTAAAGCATGCTGGCTGGGGGATTCTGGGAGTTGAAGCCCACCCACCTTAAAGCATGCTGGCTGGGGGATTCTGGGAGATGAAGCCCACCCACCTTAAAGCATGCTGCCTGGAAAATTCTGGAAATGGAAGCCCACCCATCTTAAAGCATGCTGGCTGGGGCATTCTGGGAGTTGAAGTCTTAAAGCATGCTGGCTGGGCAATTCCGGGAGTTGAAGTCCACCTGGGTTCAAAGGGGCAAGGTAGAGCAACACGGGCATCGGTGGATAACTTGAGCTGCCCCACCCTGATGGCTTTTGGTGGTGTTGGTACAGAAAACAGCCAGAACCAAATTGGTGTTTGTGCCATGGATCGAGAGGCTCCCGGCCCCTCTGCTCTCCAGAGGTCACCAGCTGGGATCCTGACCCCCGTCCTCGGTGCCAACGCAAGCGTCTCCCTTGGGGCCTGCCCGTCCCCAGAGGGTGGCCTGCATTGCTGTATTTTTTTGGGTGTTTGGTGACAGATGTTTCCTTGAAGGATATAAAACTCTCTCATTCTCTTCTCTCTCTCCCCTTCCCCACCCCGGCCCCCCGTCTCAGACTGTGTCAGGATAGGCTGTAACCCTAGTAAGTTGCTTTCTCATTTTTTTCTCTCTCTCTCTTTTTGGGAATCTTTCTCTTTCTGTCTCTCTCTCTCTTTCTTTCTTTCTTTCTCTCTGCATCCATGTTTTCAACCCCTCCTTTTTCTTCAGCTCGCTTGCTTTGAAGCCCGCAGTTTTGGGGCTTCCCTGCTTGGGCCTTGTGGAAGAGGACATGCGTGTGCGTGTGTATGTTTGCATGTGCGTCTCTGTAACGGGGGGGGGAGGGAGCTTTTGAGGGAGGCAGGCCGAAAGATGGAAGAGGAGATGGGGAGATGGTTAGAGGCTGGAAAACCGGGAGGGGTAACCTTTCCCAAAGGAGCGGTGGAGTCTCCCATCTTTCACAAGAAAAGAATAAGGACTGTGGGGTCCTGGGTGCTCTCTGAGCTGGGTTGTGTCCTTGCGGACGTTTCATGACCCAACTAGATAACATTATCAGCGCTCGAAGGGAGCGGGCAGAAACAAGTGGTTTGACCTGCCAGTGTTGGTGGGAGAGATGACATTACCTAGTCCAGTGGTTCTCCACCTGTGGGTCGGGACCCCATTTGGGGTCGAACGACCATTTCACGGGGGACGCCAAACAACGCAGTCCGCCATTTTTCCCCCCTTTTCCTTAGCTGTGCTACTCCCTTTGATTCTATTGGCTTTTGAAAGCCAATAGAAGAGACTCTCTTGAATAGAGTCTAATTCTATTGGCTTTCAAAAGCCAACAGGAATTGTCCAGGCTGTCTCTGCCTTGCCGAGCCCGCCAAAAGTCCCAGTCTGCAAACGGTGCTGCACCAGTGGAGTAGTCCTCGACTTACGACCGGTTGAGTAGTCCTCGACTTACGACCGGTTGGGGGGTCGCGGCATTAAAAAGGTTGAGAACCACTGACCTAGTCAAACATATGTAAATATACTTAAATGTGGAGACTCTAGATCAGTGGTGGCGAACCTATGGGACGCGTGCCAGAGGCAGCACTCGGAGCCCTCTTGGTGGGCACATGTGCCGTTGTCCCAGCCTTGTTTCCCCCGGTGACCCCCTCATCAGCAGCCCCCCTGGAGGAGAGTCGCCCCCAAGCGCGGCCCACGCAGAGCAGCGCAGCCAAGGACATGGCAGTCAGGCAACGTAGACAAGACTCTGCCCTCACGCCCCATTGTGCATAGTTGATGCTGCGGGGCGCGGGCAGAGGGCATGGCCGCCATGGCGCTGCTGAGCTACCTCGGCGATCTGCGGCGGGTCCTGGAGGCGGTGAGTGGCCCTGCGGGCAGGCGGGGTGGAGCAGGGGCAGGGGCAGTTTTTGGGCACTCGGTCTCTAAAAGGTTCACCATCACTGCTCTAGATAACGCAGAGAAGAGCAACAAAGATGATTAGAGGACTGGAGGCTAAAACATATGAAGAACGATAGTCTGGTCTTAACGAAGAGAAGGACTGGGGGGGGGGACATGAAAGCAGCCTTCCAATATTTGAGGGGCTGCCACAAAGAAGAGGAGGGGGTCAACTTATTCTCCAAAGCACCAGAAGGCAAGACAAGGGCCAATGGATGGAAACCGACCAAGGAGGGAAGCAATCTAGAAATAAGGAGAAACTTCTTGACAGGGAGAACAATGAACAGCTGGCCTCCAGATGTTGTGGGTGCTCCATCACTGGAGGCTTTTAAGAAGAGACTGGACAGCCACTTGTCTGAAATGGTATAGAGACTCTCCTGCTCAAGCAGGGGCTGGACTAGAAGACCTCCAAGGTCCCTTCCAACTCCGTTATACGGTTAAGTCACGAAACGTCTGTGAGTAAACCACTAAGCTTAGAGCATCAAGGACCCCACAATTCAACCCCGAGTTAAAACATTCTCTCCTGCTAGTAAGAACTCTGCAGGATTGGGCCCACGGCCCGTTTAGCCCAGGGCTCTCACTAAATACCCTTGAGGAGCTAACAAACATTTTTAATACGCTTACTTGTTTAGTTTATACATACATAATTAACAAGACCATCTTTAATCAGGAAGAAAACGTCCCAAAGACGAAAAAAGACCACAAACTAAAAACTCAAGTTAATAAAGAGGAAGAAAAGGCACCCCATCTTTTACACTACGTGTAACGGTGGCTGAGATTTTGGGGTATTTTACAATTGTATAAGAGCCCTGGTGGTGCTAGGGGTCAGAATGCAGCACTGCAGGCACACTCTGCCCACTGCCAGCAGTTCGATCCCGACTGGCTCAAGGCTGACTCAGCCTTCCGTCCTTCTGAGGCCGGTAAAATGAGGACCCAGATTGTTGGGGGGCAACAGACTGAGTCTGTAAACTGCTTGGAGGGGGCTGTAAAGCACCGTGAAGCGGTATATAAGTCTAGACAGCATACTCAAAAGCAGAGACATCACCCTGCCAACAAAAGTGCGTATAGTCCAGGCCATGGTTTTCCCAGTTGCAATGTACGGCTGTGAAAGTTGGACCCTAAGAAAGGCTGAGCGCCAAAGAATGGAGGCCTTTGAACTCTGGTGCTGGAGAAGACTCCTGCGAGTCCCCTGGACTGCAAGGCGATCCAACCGGTCAGTCCTGGAGGAGATCAACCCCGACTGCTCTTTAGAAGGCCAGATCCTGAAGCTGAAACTCAAGTAGTTTGGCCACCTAATGAGAAGGAAGGACTCACTGGAGAAAAGCCTAATGCTGGGAAAGATGGAGGGAAAGAGAAGAACAGAACGACAGAGAATGAGGTGGCTGGATGGAGTCACTGAAGCAGGAGGCGTGAGCTTCAATGGACTCCAGAAGATAGCAGAGGACAGGAAGGCCTGGAGGAACATCGTCCACGGGGTCACGATGGGTCGGACACGACTTCGCAACTAACAACAACAACAGATATTTTATATGGTTCATATTATAGTGGTGAATTCATTAGTGAACCAGTGACTTAGGTTGAATAGGGTAAAATGAACAAATAGGGGCTGGATTTCTAGGTGGCCCCACAGCAATGGGCATCCAAGGCCTGTGATTCAAGAGGCAGGCAACGCTTCTCCAAGGGGAGGTCCTACTGACGTGCAAGTGGTCATGAGTTCCACATCCCAAGAAAGAAGTTCTTTTAGAAGGCTGAGATTTTTCTTTCATTTAGCTCCGGTGGATGTTCCCGAGGTGGAACACGGCGAGAAAGGGAGAAAAAAAACCGTCTCCTTTTGCACTTTTTAAAATTTGCCTCTGTCCCATCTCTACGTTTCTCCCTTGACTGCGAGGTTAAAAATTCCCCAGCGTTTAATCTTTCCCTGTCTCAGAACTTTCTCTAAATCTTCCTAAATTAGAATGGTGGCCTGCTTTTTGCAAAAAAAAATATATATATATTTTTTTCATGCTTGCGGAAGAAGCCCAGAAAATTTGATCCCTCTTTATGGCACTGCCCGGCAAGAGAGAAAGCTGCTTGTCTGTCTGCTTCCTTTTGCCATCTTCTCCGATGGGTCAAAATGAAAGTGCCGGAGGGTCTTGGCCAGGGTCTAGTCCCCTCTTCCCCAAATCCCTTTTTACTAGCCCCTCTACAGAAGCCCGCCTGGCTCACAAGGGCATGGACAGGTATGCCTCGTCCTGTAGGAGGAGGCTCCATGGTCACACCTGTGGCCAGGTGAGCCTGGCTGCTAAACTCTGGACACCGATCCCAGAGGCAGGTGAGTCGGGGAACTGGCAGGCTTTGGTGGGGAGAGAGGGGGGGTGTTTCCAGATGTGAGGTTCTGGCTGGGGAATTCTGGGAGCTGACTTCCACCCCGTGGAGAAACAAGGCTTGATAAAGGCTTGATAAGGAATAATCTAACCCCACCAGCATGGGACTCGTCTGCGACGTATTTGAATGCACATGCTTGCTTTCCGAGGCTTGTATATGTGTGTGTGTGTGTGTGAGAGAGAGAGAATGTATACACTTACTGCAGGGGTGAACGGTCTGGTGAACTTGTTGGTTGGGAATTCTCTCTCTCTGGGGCTGTGTTCCCTAAACGGGGGTCTGGGTCCGTGGGAGGGTGGGGAATCCACTCAACTCTCAGATCCCCCCCGAAAACAGCTGCTCTTGACCTCACCGTCCTGCCCACAGGTAAAGGGCCAGAAACACTCTTTGCTGGCCACAAGCTCAACGACAACGAATGGCACACCGTCCGGGTGGTCCGGCGTGGGAAGAACTTGCAGCTCTCTGTGGACAACGTCACCGTGGAAGGTAAGCCAGAGAGAGGAACAGATGCTTGCGATACAAAGACCGGGTTCGCACAACCCCTTAGACCAGAGGTCTTCCAACTTGGCCCTTGGATGACTTGTGGACTTCAACTCCCAGAATTCCTCAGCCAGGCACATGTGCCTGGCTGAGGAATTCTGGGAGTTGAAGTCCACAAGTCATCCAAGGGCCAAGTTGGAAGACCCCTGCACTGGGGTCAAGGGTGACTAGAGGGAATCTTTTCCGTATACCAAACGTGGCAACTTTAAGACTTGTGCAACTCCCAGAATTCCTCAGCCAGGCATGCTGGCTGAGGAATTCTGGGAGTTGAAGTCCACAAGTCACCAAAGGGCCAAGTTGGAAGAGCCCTGCCTTAGATGAAAGCAAGGTGGGCCAATTGGCTGAATTTAAGCTCAGCCGCAAAGCTTCCTTGAGCCGTTCCAGAAATCCTGCTCTTCTTGGCCATTCTGTTCTGCTGTTTTGACTACAGGTAGTCCTTGACCTCTGGCCACAGATGAGTCCAGAATTTCTGCCACTAAGCAAGACGGGCCTTAAGCGAACCACGTCCCATTTTATGACTTTTTGCCAGGCTGGTTAAGCAAATCGCGGCAATTGTTAAGAGAATTACACGGTTGTTAAGCAAACCACCGACTTTCCCCTTTGACTTGGCTGGCTGGAAGATCCCTGGGAAGGCTGCAGAGGGTGACCGCATAGGATCCGGGGCGCTGCAACCCTCATAAATGCATGTTGGTTGCCAAGGAGATGGGTTTGGTTCACGCAACCACGGGGACGGCGTCACGGTTGTAAGTGAGCATAAGTCATAAGTCCCTTTATTTTCAGGGCTGTTGTTACTTCAAACGGTCACTAAATGAATGGTTTTAAGGACGATCTATATCCAGGTAGTCCTCGACTTACAACAGTTCATTTAGTGACCGTTCGAAGTTACAACAGCACCGGAAAAAAAAAGGGACGTATGACCGTTTTTCATACTGAGCGACCGTTGTGGCATCTCCATGGGTCACCTGACCAAAATTCAGACTCATATTTACGACGGTTGCAGTATCCCCGGGTCACGTGATCCCCTTTTACGACCTTCCGGGCGAGCAAAGCCCACGGGGGAGCCCGATTCACTTCACAACCGGGTTAGCAACTTAACAACTGCAGGGCTTCGCTTAGCAACCGTGAGAGAAAAGGTCGTAAACTGGGGCAAAATTCACTGAAGGATTGTCTCGCTTAACGACAGAAATTATAGTTGTAAGTCGAGGACGACCGGCATTTCCTTCCCCCGGTGTTAAGGCCATCCTGTGCATCAGATGAAGGGGGGCTGCCCAGCTCACAAATGCTTCAGCTTGTGATAAAGAGTGGAAAAGATGTTGGAGCCCTGCAAACTCACACAGTCCTGCTCTTACCTGTGTTCACCTGTCCCTTTGCCATTCTTCCTTTCTGCCACAAGAGGGCAGCAAGCCATCTTGGAAATGGTTCCTTTTCTTTCCTGACTCAGGCTCTTATACAATCACCCACTTTGGCCACTAGGGGGAGCTTCAGAACAATCCATCCCGGCTTGTAAACAAAACAGCTGGATTCTGGTCCAGCTGCCATTCTGCCACCGGCAAAACGTGGTTTGCTGCGCTGTGGCTTTGCACGCTGTACATATCCACCCGTTTGTGGCTATGTAGACAAATGGGTGTAATTGTGGCCGTAGTATCTACGGAGAGCTGCTTGCACCGGAGACAAATTCGTTGCGTGTCAAATCACACTTGGCCACTCTGATTAGTATTCAATTTAATTCAGTTCAGTTCGTTTGGCTCACATATGAATTGTGCAAAGTCAGAAAACAGATTTAATTCGGTCATCAAGTTAGACGCGCAGATCCAGCCCACAAGGATTAGACCCTGATTAATAGCGATGATGATGATGATGGATAGAATGAATAGCAAGTGACATTGATTAATAGCATTACAGTCTGGATTCAAAGGGGCGGACAGGCTATAGAGAAGCTGGAAATAGAAGTTTGGCTAAAGTGGACAAGTGGACAGCCACTGAAATGGTATATAGGAGCTCCTGCTTGAGCAGGGGGTTGGACTAGTAGACCTCCGAGGTCCCTGATTGGTTGATTGGGGCTGAAAGAGCTTTGCCAGGCTTCTGAAAACCTTGAATTCCTGCAAGATTTAGCCTCTTTGCTGGATTTTCCTGGGCATGGCCTCTCTCTCCGAGGCCTTGCCGGCCCTCTGCTTGGCATGCTAATATTTTGCCCCCCTGCCCTTTGCTCGGCCCAAGCAGGGCAGATGGCGGGCGCCCACACCCGCCTGGAGTTCCACAACATCGAGACGGGCATCATGACGGAACGGCGGTTCATCTCCATGGTGCCCTCCAACTTCATCGGCCACCTGAGCAGCCTGATCTTCAACGGGATGCCCTACATGGACCTCTGCAAGAACGGCGACATCAGCTACTGCGAGCTGAACGCCCGCTTTGGCCTGCGCAGCATCATCGCCGACCCGGTCACCTTCAAGAGCAAGGCCAGCTACCTGGCGCTGGCCACGCTGCAGGCCTACGCCTCCATGCACCTCTTCTTCCAGTTCAAGACCACGGCCACCGACGGGCTCATCCTCTTCAACAGCGGCAACGGCAACGACTTCATCGTGGTGGAGCTCGTCAAAGGGTGAGGTGTGGGCCCCCCGTGGGCCCTGGCGAGGCGGCTTGGCTGTCCCGCAAGCACATGGCAGGGACAGGGTCAGTTCTCCCTCTGCGTCCTCTGCCAGAATCCACCTCTCCCCCAGAGCCATTTGCCCACTGAGAGGCGTTTCCGTTCCATCCACTGTCTCCCCACACGTAGGCCCCCTCCCCAGCACCCGTTGGTCAATGACAAATTCTGCTTTAAAGAAACATCTTCCTCCTTTTTCTCCTTCCTTTCTTCCTAGCTTTCCTTCCTTCCTTCATATCTCTCCTTCCTTCCTTCCTATCTTTCCTTCCTTCCTTCCTATCTCTCCTTCCTTCCTTCCTTCCTTCCTTCCTTCCTTCCTATCTCTTTTTTTCCTTCCTATTTCTCCTTTCTATCTTTCCTTCTTTCCTTCCTTCCTATCTCTCCTTCCTTCCTATCTTTCCTTCCTTCCTGTCTCTCCTTCCTTCCTTCCTTCTTTCCTTTCTATCTCTCTTTCCTTCCTTCCTCTCCGTTTTTCCTATCTCTCCTTTCTATCTTTCCTTCCTTCCTATCTTTCCTTCCTTCCTTTCTATCTCTCCTTCCTTCCTTATATTTCCTTCCTTCCTTCCTTCCTTCCTTCCTTCCTTCCTTCCTTCCTTCCTTCCTTCCTTCCTTCCTATCTCTCCTTCCTACCTACCTACCTACCTACCTATCTCCCCTCCCTCCCTCCCTCCCTCCCTCTTCTTAGGAATCCCAGCCAAACTAAATGACCACCTCTGATTTTCTGCCCACCCCGCACTTCACCCTCTGGGGCTCTCCAAGCCCTGGGTTCCTCCTATTGCAGACAGCTGATAGAGATGGCAGTGCAGAGAGGAGCCTGTCTTTATGAAGGTTCAGGCGTCAAACTTCTCCTCCTGCCCTTTGGAGTTTTAATGGGTGCTCAGGGCGTCTCTTGGGGCCCCTGGAAGACCTCGCTCTGGGCTGGCCTTGTCCTTCTCCTGCCTGGAGGGCTGCTGATTCCTGCCTTGTACGATGAGGCCCTCGGAGGCCCAAATAAAAGGGAAATATTTACGTCTGGTGAGGAATTGGAATGAAATCCTCTGCTTTCGTCAGCTGCTTTTCTCAGCAGGGTGCAGCTTGGCTAGCTGACGTGAGCCACCTACTGCCCGTGTTCTCTTTGGGTTCAAAGGTAGAATTGGTTGAATTGAATAGAATTTCCTTTTTTTTTTTTCTGATTCCTTCTGTTCCGGCCACCCTCTAGGTACATCCACTACGTTTTCGACCTGGGCAACGGGCCGTCGCTGATGAAGGGGAATTCGGACAAGCCAGTGAACGACAACCAGTGGCACAACGTCATTGTGTCCCGCGACACTAACAACGTCCACACGCTGAAGATCGACTCGCGCACTGTCACACAGCACTCCAATGGCGCCCGCAACCTGGACCTCAAAGGTGAGCCAGGAAATTTCCACCAGGTGGGATCCTCCTCCAGGGTGCTGAAAGGGCAACTCCTAACCCTGCAGTCGGAACTACAGAGCCCATCATATGGAGCAGTGGTTCTCAACCTGTGGGTCGGGACTCCATTTGGGGTCGAACGACCATTTCACGAGGGTCGCCAAACAACGCAGTCCGCCATTTTTCCCCCTTTTCCTTAGCTGTGCTACTCCCTTTTATTCTATTGGCTTTTGAAAGCCAATAGAGTAGACTCTCTTGAATAGAGTCTAATTCTATTGGCTTTCAAAAGCCAATAGGAATTGTCCAGGCTGTCTCTGCCCTGCTGAGCCCGCCAAAAGTCCCATTCTGCAAACCGTGCTGCACCCGTTGAGTAGTCCTCGACTTACGACCGGTTGGGGGTCGCGACATTAAAAAGGTTGAGAACCACTGCAGCAGTTTCCAGTTAAGGCACCAGGGGGCGACCTTTAGGCCTTCAAACCCCCCCCCCCCCAAAAAAAATAGCTGGCCAAAATCGGTGGTAGCTGTTAAATGCAAAATTAGGAAGAAATATATTACAGGTAGACCTCGACTTACGACCACAATGGAGCCCAAAATTTATGTTGTTAAGCGAAACAGTTGTTAAGTGAGTTTTGCCCCATTTTACGACCTTTCTTGCCACAGTTGCTAAGTGAATCGCTACAGTTGTTAGTAATGCGGTTGTTAAGTGAATCTGGCTCCCCCCATTACCTTTGCTTGCCAGAAGGTCGCAAAAGAAGACCAGGACATTGTGACCGTCGTAAGTATGAACCGGTTGTCAAGCATCTGAATTTTGATCCCGCAATCATGGGATTGCTGCAGAAGTCGTAAGTGTGAAAAACGGTCATAAGCCACTTTTTCCAGTGCCGCTGTTAACTTTGAAAAGTCGCTAAATGAATAGCTGTAAGTCAAGGACTTCCTGTGTTCCGCCGATGGTCATTCTAAGCCACTGGTTTTCAACTTCAACCGCTTTAAAATGGGGGGGGGGACTTCAAATCCCAGAATTCCCTATCCCAGGGGTAGGCAACCTTGGCTCTTTGATGACTCGTGGACTTCAACTCCCAGAATTCCTGAGCCAGCCACGCTAAGCTGATAGGGAGAAATTACTGTTTTTATCTACGCAAAGTGGACAAATATACAAAACCAGATGCATCTACAGAATGTTAAGTTTCTGCTAAGAATTCCTGGAATAAATATTTGTTTTAAAACCATTTTTTTGTTGAGTTGATGCTGTCTGGAACTGAATTACAAGGCATCTCAGTTCAGGTTCCGGAATAATTCTGGGAGTTGAAGTCCGCGAGTCATAAAAGAGCCAAGGTTGCTTACCTCTGGCCTAGGCCTAGGCCGCTTTATGACTCGTGGATTTCAACTCCCAGAATTCCTGAGCCAGCATGGGGGAACTATGGCCCCTTCATGACTCGTGGACTTCAACTTCCAGAATTCCTGAGCCAGCATTTCTCCTCCATTTCTCCTCAGCATCGCTGGCTCAGGAATTCTGGGAGTTGAAATCCACCAGTCATAAAAGAGCCAAGGTTGCCTACCCCTGCCCTAGCCAGAATTTGGGGAGTCGAAGTCCACGCATTTTAAAATTGCTAAGGCTGAGAAACGTTGAAACAAATGTTTGGAAATCAGGAAGGAATTTCCTGTCAGTGAAAACAACTAACCAGTGGAACAGCTTGCCACCAGAAGTCGTGGGTGCTCCATCACTGGAGGCTTTTGTGAAGAGACTAGACAGCAGTTTGTTCGGAATGGCATAGGGGCAGGCAGGTGTGTCTTGCTCGGCTGTGGCTTGGGGGCACTTTTTTCAGTGCCATTGTAACTTCAAACAGTCACTAAGCGAACTGTTGTAAGTCGAGGACTACCTGTACTTTATCATTTTTTTCCTTTGGTTTTTTTTTTTTTTGGTCATCAAGTTTTTGACACCTTGCTAGGCGACTGGTGGTCCTCGGATGTTGCCCTCTCCTAAAAGTGGTACAATGGGTGAAAAGGTGGAAAAGCCCTGGGCTAGAAGACCTTCAAGGTCCTTTTCAACTCTGTTATTGTGTTATTTTGACAATTATGTTTCCCCCCTTAGAAACCAGCTTAAATTTTCATTTTGGGCTGTTTCTTTCTCCCCTGGGTTCCTTTAGAAACATAATACGGGGTTCACTTATTTTTCATTTACTCCATAAAAGAAGCGTGGCAAACGCCTGCCAGAAAAGATGTTTACACTTTAGGTGTCCCCTTTCTAAGATTCATCCTTTCCGCTCCACATGTGGGATTTTTAAAAAGCAGATGTTTAAAACTCCGGGTCAGTGGCCAGCGAGAAGTCTTCCCTGCCCCCCCCCCGGTTCCCTTCTGCTTTAATTCTTCTTGCGCTCGCTTTAAATTAAAAACGAAATAAAGAAAATAAGAGCATCCAGAGGTTGTTTTTTTTTTTTAGAAAAATTAATTGCTTCTTCACTGCAAAGGGGAAATAATATAACGGAGAGAACAGGGGCATTTCTGGCTAGGGCTCAGTTGCTCGCACTTGGACTAATCTGTCATGGAAGACGCTGAACGTGCCGGCAATTTATGCGGAACGCTGAGTGCATTTTGTGCATAGCTTTAAACCAAGTCAAATCTCTACTTCTGGGCAAATGTTTTGCCTGGAGGAAAGAGGCAGTTTCATGCTCTGGGGTTTAAATTAGCTTTTAAGTGTGACAGTTTGGATACGGTTGTGTTTTCTTTTTTTTTTAAAAAAAAAAGAAACAACAACCCCTAATTCAATAAGCTAAACCAAAGGGATCCAGAGCATAACAGTAGAGAGCGGTAGACATCATAATTAATCTAATGTGGGCTGTGACCTTTAACAAAACTGCTCTGAGCGGCTCTCAGACCTTAAGGAAGAAATAAATAATTTAATTTAAAAAAGAGAGATTTGGGTCTAAGCAAAAGCTGCAGTTTGGGTGATGGGGAGGTTCCATCTTCTGGATCCGTGGGGTGATTTCCCCCCCCTTGGGGATGACAGAAGCTGTTGTGTGGAAGCGCATAACTTCACAATTGTATTCGGCTGGGTTTTGTCTAATATGGATGGTCCTTGATTTAGAACCGTTTGTTCGTTCAAAGTTACGACGGGACTGAAAAAAGGAACTTATGGACATTTTTCACACTTCCAACCATTGCACACACACACACACACCCCCGTGGCTACTGGCATGTACTTAGGACGGTTGCGATGTCTCCCAGGGGTCACGTGATCCCCCTTTTGCGACCTTCGGACACGCAAAGTCCCTGGGGGAAACCAGACTGACTTAACAGCCGTGTGACTCGCTTAACACTTGTAGTGATTCGCTTAACGGCTTAATGGCGAGGAAGGTTGTGAAACGGGGCCAAAGTCACTTAACACCTCTCTTGCTTAGCAATGGAAATTTGGGGCTCAGTCGTGGTCGTAAGTCAAGGACTCCTGGATTGAGCGTGGCTCCTTGGGGGCTTCTTTGCCATCGTCTTCTAGGGCTGTTTTGGGAGTTGTCAGTCTAGTCTTCAGTCCTGGGATCTCCCCTAGGTCTCCCATCCCCGTGCTAGCCAATCTGGCTCAACATTATCAGCCTTGGGAAGAAGGAGAGGAGGGCAAATCTCTTCTGAAAATGGTGCCAGGAATGAAGAGGCCGGGCCAGGCAGTTGCCAGGAATCAAGGCTGCCGAGAGAAACGGAGAGAGAGTAGAGGGAGGGAGGGATGGGTGGATAGATATAGATAGAAACAGAGAAAGAGAGAGAGAAAGATAGACAGAGATAGAGATAAATAGATGATAGATAGAGATAGAGATAGAGATAGTGACAGAGAGAGAGAGAGACAGATAGACAGACAGAGATACACAGAGAAAGATAGATAGATAGATAGATAGATAGATAGATAGATAGATAGATAGATAGACATGATTAGATAGATAGACAGACAGACATAAAGAGACAGACAGATAGATGATAGATATATAGATAGACAGACAGACAGACAGAGATAGATAGATAGACAAACATAGATAGATAGATAGATAGATAGATAGATAGATAGACAGACAGAGACAGAGATAGACAGATAATAGATGATAGATAGATAGATGATAGATGGATGGATGGATGGATGGATGGATAGATAGATAGATAGATAGATAGACAGATAATAGATAGATAGATAAATAGATAGATAAATAGATAGATAGATGATAGATAGATAGATGATAGATAGATAGATAGATGATAGATAGATGATAGATAGATGGATGGATGGATAGATAGATAGATAGATAGATGATATAATAGAAACAGAGATACAGAGATCGAGACAGACAGACAGCATAGAGACGATAGATAGAGGACAAATGGACCAGATAGATAGACAAATAATTTATTAAAAGTCTATACCATCTAATTCCCAGCGACTCTTACGCTGAATCCCTTTTTCTTGTCCAGGATCCCCTTCAGTATCCAAAAGAAGGGGATCCCCATCTGGACCCTTGTCTTGACCCCCACCCTTGGAAGGGCTGGAGGGCTCCTAACGCACCTCTCTTCGGCCTTGCAGGGGAGCTGTACATCGGAGGCTTGAGCAAAAGCATGTTCAACAACCTGCCCAAACTGGTTGCCTCTCGGGACGGTTTCCAGGGCTGCCTGGCCTCCGTGGACCTCAACGGCCGACTCCCAGACCTCATCGCCGACGCCCTGCACCGGATCGGGCACGTCGAGAGAGGCTGTGACGGTAAGAGGGGCAAAGGGTCTTCCCTTCCTTCCTTCCTTCCTTCCCTCCCTCCCTCCCTCCCTTTCTCCCTCTTCCTCATTCCAATCTCCTTCCTTCCTTCCTTCCTTCCTTCCTTCCTTCCTTCCTTCCTTCCTTCCCTCCCTTTCTCCCTCTTCCTCATTCCAATCTCCTTCCTTCCTTCCTTCCTTCCTTCCTTCCTTCCTTCCTTCCTTCCCTCCCTTTCTCCCTCTTCCTCATTCCAATCTCCTTCCTTCCTTCCTTCTTTCCTTCCTTCCTTCCTTCCTTCCTTCCCTCCCTTTCTCCCTCTTCCTCATTCCAATCTCCTTCCTTCCTTCCTTCCTTCCTTCCTTTCCTTCCTTCCTTCCTTCCTTCCTTCCTTCCCTCCCTTTTCCCTCTTCCTCATTCCTCTCCTTCCTTCCTTCCTTCCTTCCTTCCTTCCTTCCTTCCTTCCTTCCTTCCTTCCTTCCTTCCTTCCTCTCTCCTTCTATTTCTTTCTTTCTTTCCGTTCCAATTCTCCTCCCTCCCTCCCTCTTTCCCTTTCCCCGTTTTCTTCTTTCCTTCCTTACTTCCCTCCCTCCATCCTCCCTCCATTTCCTTCCTTCCTTCTTCTCTCTCCATTTCCTTCCTTCCTCTCTCTCTCTCCCCCTTTGCCTCCAATTCCTCCTCCCTCCCTCCCTCCTAGTGCATTAAGTAAACCAAGCTGTGACACAAAGTCAGACGATGACCAACTCTTTGGGTCTTGCATGTTCTGCGTGTTTTGTGAACGGACCTCTGAATTTGGGGTGGGGGCTGTTCTTGGAATCAGCCGCTGTCCTCTCTTTCTAGGGTGAGCTTGTGTAACTGCAGCTCAGCTCAGACAACAAGGTAAGTGGGATAGAGCTGGCCCGCCTGCCACTTGTCTGGGCTGAGCCCACCTGTAGCCTTCCGTGCCATTCCAGCCAATTAGTTGAATCAATAAGCTAGGATTAAGCAGTGAAGAGGAGGCATGAGTGCAGCGCTAGGTAAATATCTGTCCGTGTCTCAGATGCCTGTGAGGACATTAAGCTTCCCTTATCCCACCATTACGCGAACGGAGCCACGGAGTTTGCATAACACCCCACTTAACCAGCTAAAGTAAAACCTGAACGGCTTAATTCATAAAAGGTGCCTTGGTTGTGTGTCAGCGCAGTTTTTGGGAGAAAGCAGCCCGTTCAATCCGCTGAAGATCCAGCGCGGTGTGCAAGGTCAGAAAACGGGTGGATGCACAAATCCAGGCAGGAATTTAATTTTGTTCACCGTCCTAGGCTTTACAGCTGCGTTTCTCCACCTGGGCCGTTGGAAGAGGTGTGGATTTTAACTCCACACCTGGAATTCTGGGAGTTTGAAGTCCACAGCTCTTTAAAGAGGCCAAGGTGGGGAACCCCGCTTTAGAGTTTAACGTTGGGTGAACACGGCCACTGGGGCTGTCCTTGCCCCCCCTCCCAACACAGCTCAGGGCCCCCCAGATTTCCCAAAGCATTAGCAAGTTGGCATCTTCTATATCAGTGGTTCTCAACCTTTTTAATGCCGCGACCCCCAACCGGTCGTAAGTCGAGGACTACTCAACTGGTGCAGCACCGTTTGCAGAATGGGGCTTTTGGCGGGCTCAGCAGGGCAGAGACAGCCTGGACAATTCCTATTGGCTTTGGAAAGCCAATAGAATTAGACTCTATTCAAGAGAGTCTATTCTATTGGCTTTCAAAAGCCAACAGAATAAAAGGGAGGAGCCCAGCTAAGGAAAAGGGGGGAAAAATGGCGGACTGCGTTGTTTGGCGACCCCCGTGAAATGGTCGTTCGACCCCAAATGGGGTCCCGACCCACAGGTGGAGAACCACTGCTCTATATAACCTGCCGTGCTTGGGAAGTTGGCAGTGCCCTTCCTGGCCTGATAGTGCCCTGGCTTAGAGCTGGTCCCCTGATTCTGCCTCCTGCTTCCTCCCCACCCACCCCCCCTGCTCCCCAGGCCCCAGCACCACCTGTACGGAGGACTCCTGCTCCAATCAGGGCGTCTGCCTTCAGCAATGGGACGGCTACACGTGTGACTGTACCATGACCTCCTACGGCGGCCCGGTGTGCAATGACCGTGAGTAGTCAGCGAGTTGGGACGGAGGGTGGGTGGACGTTGGGGGGGAGCGGCCACAGGGACAGGGTCCTGCCAAAGCATTTTGGGGGAGGGGAACGAGCCCCCCCCTTGGGGGTAAAGGGCCTTTCTGCTCAGCCTTTAATTGGGGCCTCCGCGGTGCTCATCCAGACCTGGGACGGCTCAGAAGCAGATCCCCGGAATGGATCCTTGTTAAAAGCAGCTGCAGGCTCAGATTCTGCATAGGCAGGTTTTCAGGGGCTGATCTGCCTTCCTGGGGGAGGAGAGGGGAGGGTAGAAGAAATGCACAACATGGGTGAGGAGGTCCTTCCTCTCCCCGCTTCCACGCCAAAAGACACGGGCAGCACCGCCTGCAGAAAAAGCTACCCGTCCATGCCACAAGCATCCTTGTGGATGCACTTGAGGGCCAATCCGTGAAGAGCTCAGCCAGGGTGAAAGGAACCGGGGGGGGGGTCCCCTGCCAGATTGCCCCCTTCTTAGGCTCGTCTCCCCCCAGGGGGAGTCGGCCAGCTGGAAGCCACGGGACTTGTGCTGCGCAGTGCCGGAAGACCCGCAGGTTTGTCAAAGGGGGGGGGGGAGGCTGATGTTCATGCGGTTACTAGAGCAAGTGCGCGCGAGAGAAGGAGAATGGGTTAAAAATTTCAGAAGGCAGAAATGCCACGGAAAAGACCAGGTGGGTAGACGGGTGTTTCTCAGCCTGAGCAAGTGTCTGGACTGCAGCTCCCAGAATTCATGCTGGCTGGGGGATTCTGGGAGTTGAAGTCCACCCATCTTAAACTCTTCTGACTGGGGGATTCTGGGAGTTGAATCCACCTATCTTAAAGCCTGTTGGCTGGGGAATTCTGGGAGTTGAAATCCACCCATCCTAAACCCTTCTGACTGGGGAATTCTGGGAGTGGAAGTCCACCCCTCTTAAAACTTGCTGGCTGGGGGATTCTGGGGGTTGAAGCCCACCCCTCTTAAAGCCTGCTGGCTGGGGGATTCTGGGGGTTGAAGCCCACCCCTCTTAAAGCCTGCTGGCTGGGGGATTCTGGGGGTTGAAGCCCAGCCCTCTTAAAGCCTGCTGGCTGGGAGATTCTGGGGGTTGAAGTCCACCCATCTTAAACCCTTCTGACTGGGGGATTCTGGGAGTGGACGTTCACCCATTCTTAAAGTTGCTAAGATTGAGAAACACCAGGGTAGACAACGGTGAGAGACACGAGACCAGTGCAGTCTCAGCCACGAAACACGGGTTTGCATTCTGGACGGTAATAATTTTGCATCGTTATCATCCTCGCCATCTTCCTAACAACAGTAGCAATTTAAAATGTTTGTACATTTGCCCCAACGCGTCTTTTTCAGCATCTTCAGAGTGTTATTTATTTACTTGTTTGCTTAAAGTTGCATTCTGGGACCTTTTATTTCTCACTTGCTCGCTGGCTCGTGAATGTTTGGATTCGGTTTCTTTCTTTCTCTCCCTCCCCCCCCCCTTGTTGTGCAAGCATTCAGAGCTAATGAGAAGCAGAAGGTTTGGGCTTTAAATGCAACTTAAAAAGAGGAAGAATCTGCCTTTGGGGTGTCAGCAGCAGGGTTAAACCCCAGGGCATCTGGTTGCAACTGTCCTCTGGAGGGAACCGCTTGGAAATTATCTGGGATAAATAAATCCTTAAGGAGCCGTTGATCTCTGGGTGAAGTGGCTGTGGGCAACGAGGCTGCAGATTGTTGGGAACCCAGGAGAACCTTTCAAAGTTTATTTATTTACGATCAGAGATCCAAAGAAGAAGAGAAGTGAAACAAAGGTTTGTAGAACAGCAGACGCGCTGGTAGATTTGGTTTCTATCCATTCTGCACTTGCTGTGATTTAAACAAATATTACTTATACCTTATTATGAATATATTTTTTTTCTCTCCCCGAAAGCATATTGGTAAATGTGCATGGGCCGGTATGCGTTTCTAAATGTAACATCTCCTTTCAAAAATTTGCTTTTTTGCTCTCCTCTCTGAGCAAAAGAAATGCATCGGAGACTTTGGAGAAGCGAAGAGCCTAAAAGATAATTACAGGCAATCTGTTCATTAGTCCGAATCGGATTAAGTTTGTGTCAGAGCTCATGAAAACCAAAAACTCTTCCGCATGAGCGGCGGGTGTGTGTTTGTGTCTGTTGCTTAAACCCCCTCACCCTTTTTATTGCAAATCCAGTTGAGAGGAAATGTTTTTGCCGCTCCGCCCCGAAGGTGTGGCGTGGTGCAAATTGCAGCCGGCAAAGCAACAAGATGAGCGTTTTGGCGAGAAAAATCTTGAAATCTAAAGGTTAACATTCGTCATAATTACCTGCGTGTCGTAAACTGGACTTTCAAAGCAGCCGGGCACGAAGGCTGAGATGTTTTGAGCGATTGCGGGTGGGTGGGGAGGCAGCCCTGTCTGAACCATCATCTGGATGAGGCAAATGTTCTGGGGAGAAGTGGAAGATAGGTTAGCTAATCATCTGAGGGCTAAGATTCCTAACTGTATCACTTCCACTACTATACTGCTGCATTTCAATAGTAGTAATTCAATAGTAGTAACTGAGAGAGGGATCTCGGAGTCCTAGTGGACAATCCCTTAAATGTGAACCAGCTGTGTGCTGCTGATGCCCAAAAAGCCAACATAGTGCTAGGTTGCATTAACAGAGGGATAGACTCAAGATCACGTGAAGTATTAATACCACTTTACAAGGCCTTGGTAAGGCCACACTTGGAATACGGCATCCCGTTTTGGTCACCACAATATAAAAAATATGTTGAGACTCTGGAAAGAGTGCAGAGAAGAGTAACAAAGATGATCAGGGGACTGGAGGCTAAAACATATAAGGATCGGTTGCTGGAATTGGGAATATCTAGTCTAATGAAAAGAAAGACCAGGGGTGACATGATAGCAGGGTTCGTTACCCCAAAGAAGAGGGAGTCAAGCTATTCTCCAAAGCACCTAAAGGTAGCACAAGAAGCAACGGATGGAAACTGATCAAGGAGAGAAGCAACCTGGAATTAAGGAGAAACAATTAACCAGTGGAACAGCTTGCCACCAGAAGTTGTGGGTTGCTCCATCACTGGAGGTTTTTAGGAAGAGACTGAACAGCCGTTTGTTTAAAATGGTGTTGGATCTCCTGGTTAAGCTTGAAGTACAGTCCCTGGATACTTATGGAGACAGTCCCTGTCACCCGATATTCACAGGTATCTTTTAACAGAGCCTGGAGGTTTCGTTTTTTAATTGCAACATGATTCGTCTTAATCTACTGACAAGATAGCCAGCGAAGCGAAATGAAAGGTGGGAAATGAAGGCTGGAAACTTTTAATTCACATAAGAGGCCGTTCCTCTCCCCTTCCTGCCAATTCCACCTCCAGGGGTCTTGCAACCATTCCTTCCAGGGATATTAAAAACAGCGACTGGGTTTGTGATTAGCCCATTAAAGCCTGGGCAGCTGCATTTGTGAAACGTGCTAAACTTGGATAGATTAGGCTTGGTTAAGGTGGGTGGACAGGTAGTCCTCGACCGACCATTGTTCGTTTGGTGACCGTTACGACAGCGCTGAAAAAAAGCGACTTAAGACCATTTTTCACACTTAGGACCGTTTCAGCATCAGCAGGGTCAGGGCATCAAAATTCAGATGCTTGGCAGCTGATTCGTGTTTATGACGGTCGCAGTGTCCCGGGGTTTGTGTATAATCTCCTTTTGTGACCTGGGCAAAATCAAGGGGGAAGCCAGATTCCTTTAACAACTGTGTTACTAACAACTGCAGTGATTCCTTTAACAAATACGGCAAGAAAAGTCGTAAAATGGGGCAAAACCCATTTAACAAATGTCTCACTTAGCAACAGAAATTTTGGGCTCAATTGTGGTCGTACGTCGAGGACTACCTGTGTGTGTGTGTGTGTGTGTGTGTGTGTGTGTGTATCTGTTTGTCTGACTGTCTGTCTATTTATGTTAGGGAAGGCCAGCCCACTGAGATATTTTACAATGAGAGGGTGGTTTTATGAATGAATCCTCATTAGGGTTTTGCACAATACGCTGATTTATTTCCACGGCTAAGCCCTTGTGCTAGACCTGGGTTTCTTAAGATCACAAGGAGCGATCGTGACACGTTATTCCGCCCTAGTGAGGCCACTGCAGGAATACTGTGTCCTTTTGTGGCCATCCTGATAGGAAAAAGATGCTGAGATCTTGGGAAGAGTGCAGAGAAGAGCAACAAAGAGGATCAGGTGTCTGGAGGCTAAATTGTAGGGCGAACGGTTGAGAGAACTCTAAGCATGTCTAATCTAAGGGGGAGAAGGAGTGACATGACAGCTGTCTTCCAATATTTGAACCCCACAAAGACGAGGGGTTCAAGCTATTCTCCAAAGCACCAGAGGTCAGGACAAGAAATAATGGATGGAAACTTATCAAGGAGAGAAGCAACCTAGAAATATGTAGGAATTACCTGACTGTGAGAACAATTAAAGCAGTGGTTCTCAACCTTTTTAATGCCGCGACCCCCAACCGGTCGTAAGTTGAGGACTACTCAACCGGTCGTAAGTCGAGGACTACTCAACTGGTGCACCACCGTTTGCAGAATGGGACTTTGGGCGGGCTCAGCAGGGCAGAGACAGCCTGGACAATTCCTATTGGCTTTGGAAAGCCAATAGGATTAGACTCTATTCAAGAGAGCCTATTCTATTGGCTTTCAAAAGCCAATAGAATAAAAGGGAGTAGCACAGTGAAGGAAAAGGGGGAAAAAAATGGCGGACTGCGTCGTTTGGCGACCCCCGTGAAATGGTCGTTCGACCCCAAATGGGGTCCCGACCCACAGGTTGAGAACCACTGAATTAAAGGAACAGCTTGCCTCCTGGAATTGTGGATGCTCCATCACTGGGAGTCTTCAAGAAAATATTTTTTTCCAGAATGACCCAAAGACCCCTGTCTTGGGCAGGGAGTTGGACTAGATGACCTCCGAGGCCCCTGTGATTTTATGATTCAACCTTGGCAGCTCTGC